TCGCCGTCGCCGTCGCCGTCGCCGTCGCCGTCGCCGTCGCCGTCGCCGTCGGCGTCGGCGTCGCCGTCGTCGCCGCCGTCGTCGTCGTCGTCCTCATCATCATCATCATCATCATCATCATCATCATTTCTATCCCTCAAGTTTCTGTAATTTCAATGAGCGTCCCGAATGACTTGGAGTCCTGAGAAAATTCGTTTGACGAATCGGGAGCAATGGCCTCAAGGGCTAATCTGGGAGTGTTTGGGTTATGAACCAAGGGATGCGCCCCATCTGCAAATCCCATCCGCCAGAAATCTCCGATCGAAGCTCCATCCTCCGATCGCCAAGACACTAAGCCGGTTCGAAGGGAGTGAGATTGAAGATGCCACAAACATAGATGGCCCAGGTTCCTTGGAGGCCCAAAAACATGGTTTGTTGCGCAAACAAACAAACAAATTCTTGTCCCAAATGGCCCCACATGTTTTAGAGATTTCGTTTGCTGCAAGCACTGGTCTGGGGAAACAATCAAGCAACAAAAGCCATGTGACAGAGAGATATCCACCGGCCAAAAATGAGGTTCTATCAACATCTCTTCATTACACCGAAGAAGATGAACATGGAACCTTAAAAGGCATGGACCAGACCGGAAGACGATAAAATCCTCTACAACGCCAGTGGTTTAAGCAATTCCATGTGAGTCTCTAATTCAACGATTAATCAACCCCCCATCTAAAGAGGATCAAAGCATATTAAAGCAATCTCCCAAGATTCACTTTCGCTTGTTCCACCTTCTCCAGCGCCAAGGTCGTCTCATCGTAATGTTTGGCCCTTGGCCCATGATAGCCCGCCAGCTTCGCATACACAAAGGGCTTCGGCCAGGTGGTCAAGGACCGCTCGCAGCGCCCCAGGCGGAGCTCCGTGGCGTTCCAACCCGAATGGTTTTGCTTTCCAGCGACGCATAGGAAGTTCCAGAAGCTAATGTGCTGATACAACGGGCTTCGCATGGTGGTGAAGTACACGCACCTGCGAGGCAGGAAGGAACAAACACCCGTCCACAAGTTGTCCGTGGCGACGATCACACGAAGCTTCATTCTCTCCTCCATGGAGGCTGTGAACAAATAGTCCGGGCTCACGGCATCCTTCGGCGAGCCTCGACCCAAGATGAGCTTGGAGCGATTGGCCTCGAACCAAATGCAAGACCTCGGACTCTTGCACAAGGTCCGTTCGAAGGCGGTCTTGATGCTGGTTCCCCCTGCTTTGTGATTGTGATGAAAGACCAGCGCAGGCTCCAAGGTGTCCGCATCTTCCGGAGTCTGGGAAGCCAGAACGCAAGCACGAGAGGGCAAAGGTCCCAGGGTGGAATCTTTAAGATTGCACGACGGGACCCGGTTTTCCGCTGCTGCAGCGGTTCCTTGGCGATGACATGGTGCAGGTCTTTTGCAAGAAAGCTGGGTAGGTAGAACTTCGTCAACAAATTTTGAAGAATCAGAATCGGTGCACAGAATGTTTGAGGCATTCTCACCGGTTGCTTCAAAAAGATTGCTTCTTTTTTACACGGGTGCCTGGGGTAAACGAGGACGGTCCGCGCAATGTTCCGAATCACTTTGTCTTGTCTTCAAACTTGCGTTTTGAGCAAGTTCTTCCAAACCTCTTGAATGTGAAACGTCCAAACAACGCCTTGTTCGTTTTTCAACCCGGTCTCCCTCCGCGATCGGAGCTACCGCGATTTCCTGCGCGATGGTCACATGCTGCGGCGTGCCCACGCGCTTCGGTAGGAGCTGATTGAAGGAATCCAAGTCATCCAGGTGACGGTTCTCCGACGCCAAGCTGGCCCGGCCCAAGAGGAGCCCCAGGACAAAGCCGAAGATCAAGGCAATGACGATGTGAGCTCTCATCCCACCATGGCCCCAGGAGGTCTCGTCATCCGAAACGAGGAGGTCTCGTCTTGTTTTTGGGCGATAGATGAGAGAAACATATAGAGAAACAACCCTCCTGGCCAGGCTGTTAGTTGAGGGTTGTTGGACCCTAACAGGTCTCTATTGGTGACCTGTCGGAGGGTCCTGGTAGAGAAACCACTCTTTGCGGGGGACCGATCTCCGTTTGAGGGCATCTCCAGGCGTTGGAAGGGTGTTCTGCTGTTTGAAGAATCCTGGTGGCTTGCAGGCTTCGTCCATGGCTTGAGAAGAATGTGAGGGAGTGTCCTTGGATCTTCTTCAGCATGTGTGAAAAAGTGGCTCACTGTTTTCTGAGAGGAATTCAGCACCAGGATACTCCACTTCATCGGCACAAGGTATGCGTGTGGGTTTGCAGGCAGTGGCACCCCACCTCCGAGAAGGAGGTGCGGGTGTGGAAAATCCAGGTGCGGGTGGAAGGTAGGTTCAGGTAGCTTACCCAGAACTTTCAGTGATTCATTTTACTCCACCTGCTAGGGTAAATAAAATCCACTATAAGGGTAAAATCTCCCACCATGTCGACGACGAGCTGCACACGTAAAACGTCGAGTCTGTCGACGACGGAGCTGCACACGTCGACGTCTCGTCTCTGAGGATGTCGGCCGTCGTCGCTGGTGCCTTTTCTCCCAAGAATCCTCCGAGTTCCCATCCGAGCCTAGAAAGGTTGAACAGCCCATTTTCCACCGATGGGACATATATACCACTGTAGGGTTTCTCAACCTCTCTTAGCAGAGGAAACACCTCTGCAGGGCCCATTTGCTGGGACCTTAAGAATTCTGGGCAGGGCTGCAACCTTGCACCTCTGTCCTTGCGACAGATCCATTCTGCCAGATCTGATCCAGATCTTTCACCACGGCCTTACCAGCACACCCGGACCAGGAAATTCTATTGAATAGCTCCCCAAAGAGGTTTTCCGCTAAGGGGTGTCCTATTTCACCACCCCTTGCGGGTCCTGCAGGTCTTGCGGGTCCTGGTCGTCCGTCTTTTCCCCCGTTTCCATCCAAAGCCACCGGGGGGGACAACCACGCGGACCACCCGCCCTGACGGACCCGGACTTCGCCCGTCTCGGCCTGCGGCTGAAGATGCTCGTTGGGCGGTCCCGGACTTCACCTGGATGCTTCACGCCGTGAACGCGGCGTCCGTGACGGGACCCGGTGGCAAAGCTGAGAGTCGGTTTGGTTGGGAGTACTTATTATATATACCCTAGAAGTCCAAAAACTATATTTGGCCCCACTGAAGTAAAGCATATTCCTTTTCGGGTCGCCTAAAGACCATTCTTTTTGATAGTCTTTGACTCCCAGGGTATATATATATATGCTATTCATGGCTATGCTGCGGAAAGGAGAGGCTTTTGAAACCACCAAACACAACCGGACTGGCATGACATACATTGGGGTGGTTGAAAAGGTGTCCCTGTATATATATATATATTATATATACCATACATGGAGTGTCTGGGTATTATGCTATTCTTCGTGCTCTTTGCATTCTTCATTAACATTCTTTTTGTCGTGTTTCTTGTTAATTGGTGTTATTCTGCTTGTTCTTGTTCTTGTTCTTGTTCTTGCTGTTGTTGTTGCTGGACATCCTCAAACCTATCTAAAACCGCCAGCCCCGAGCCAGCCCGCCAGGCCCTCGATGCAAGTGTTTTGTTCCGGTCGATGCGCATCCGATCGGATCCATGGGCCTCTTCCGAAGTACCCTTGACGAGGCCTTTAAGCCATGTCCTTCCACCGAGGCCGGTGCAGCGCGCGAGCGCCCGGCGCCCCGGGCCGGCCGTGGTGGAAAGCCGCGGAACGGGGAACCGACCGGCTTGGAGCGGTGGAGCAACAAGTGGTGGCTCGGAATTCGGCGTTCACACGAGCGACCACTTGAGCCGGATGAAGAGGTTACGAACTTGCTCTGACTCTAGCCCAGCGGGTCTATGAGTGCCTATCTGTGAAGTGGGTGCGTTTGGGGTCCGCCGGGGGCTCCGAAGTTTGGCACACCTTCCGACACCTTCCACGCCATTTCACGACATTTGCTGTAGCAGATGCTTTCAAGTGTAGCTGAAAAGAGCCAAGAACGTTCTTGTTTGAAGAGTAACCTTGGGACCATGGGTCTGATGTAAGGTGCAGTTGGGTACTGAGTATACTGTATATGAAGGCCAAACAGCTGTGAACGCTTCCAATCATCTTCCCTTCACGTGCCCTCTCCACACAACGCGACGGGTTGGACACCGCGACCGGTCGGTCCTCATTTTCACCATGGTGAGTTCGGTCTTCCAAAGCGTTCAAAGCCGCTTCCAAAGCGTCCAGCGGGCTGTGCAGGTGGGGGAAACCCGGTGTTGCTGCGCTCCCGCAAAAACCGTGTTGAAGCTCTTGACCACTTAGTAGCTGTTCCAAAATTTCAGCTCACTTTCGTGGCTCAAAAGATGGTGCGGGGGGGCACTTGAAAAGTTAGGGCATGGCTCAAAAGACTCGGTTCAACTATGTTGAAGTTACTAGGTAACAGTGCTTCATCTGTTCTACTCTGCCATTCTGATTTTGCATCAGCTTCTGAATTGCCATGAATCTGCTTCCATTGTCTTGCTGCCGAGTGTGAGCAGGAGCTACGCCGCCTCAGAGTGCGAAGCGCGAGTCGAGCGCTCCGCGAGTCGAGCGCTCCGCGTCTCACGTCGACCGACACGGACGGCACGTCGTCAGGCGCGTCACGCGTCGACCAAACCGACCTGGTGCAGTCGGTGCGCAGCGGGTGTTTGGGGAGGCATCGTGGGTTCGCGATCAGGAGCTGGTCGACTCCCCCCCCCTTTTCTGCGGTTCGGTGGTGTTAGGGCAGACCCGTCTGTACCAGAGAAAGGGGGCGAGAAGGGGTGTTTCCCTTATTGAAGAATGGCACCTCCCCGCATCTGCCCTGAAACGGCGGTCCCGTTCGCAAGCAGTGGTAGTATAAGGTGTAGCTCGACCCGTCGAGACCCGACGATGTCGACCCGAGACGCTTCGACGCTTCGACCCACACTGACGGCATTTCGTGCCAAGTCAGGGCGTCTCCACCAAGGCACTGTGCTCGCTGACAGCGACGGGCGCCTTTCAAAGGTTCTCGCTGCTCCCGTCTCTCTAGCGCCGCCTCGGCCGGCGTCAAAGGCGGACAACATGTGGGTGACAGGCGCTGGAGGAGGATGCAGATGGTGAGGCATGTAAGGCCAAGTCTGATGACCTTCAGCAGTGTTCAAAGCCTCCTTATAAAATCACAAGGATAATTATAAACTCTTGCGCGAAAACCTTGCGCCATGCTTACGCGACCACAGTGAGAGCTTGCGCAGGGGCTTATCTTCAACATTTGCTTGCGCGAGCTTGCGCTGAAATAGCTGTTGCTATTTTTCGTGCGTTGTTGCTTGCGCGGTGTATGCCCGAGCTAGCTGGAACATGGAAGTTCCTCGCAAGCTACATGTGAATGAGACCGTTCTATTCGGACGTTCCGAGCAGAATCACTTGGCAAATGAACATGAGGAAGGCGAAGTGGAGCTAGGAGGCACGTAGACGACCGAGCTCTGACAATAGTTAGTTTAGATGGAAGATGCGTTAGTGAGCTTTTCGCTTTTCTTCGAGTCCCGCTTTTTGACGTTCTTTGTGGGGAGTGGGTGGGCTAGGGCACTTGCGGCTTGCGCGAACCTTGCGCGGACCTTGCGCAAACCTTGCGCAAACCTTGCGCGAAAATGTCCGTATGTTCAAATTCTGAACCAAACAGTGTACAACTAATCTAAGTCATAATGTATACAAGGTCTGTCATACAAACAGTCAGTCCTTCAAGCACAATAGTATGAAGCTTACGCAACCTTGCGCAAACCAAAGGCCTTGCGCGAACCTTGCGAAAAGCTTGCGCGCAACCTTGGTCCCATGCAAGTTTTGAAAGAATACATGACCCGAAAGACCCATGTTCTTTACCGCCAGTTTTGAAAGCGGCTCACTTGGGGATGTTAAAAGCCGTCATAAAGGGGTGGCTTCATCAAGACGATGATAAGGACGTGTGGCCTTCGGGGATTTGGACCGTTTGCCAAGCAAAATGAAGGATGTTTGGGCAAACCTATGGTGTTTGACCAACAAGTTCTAGATGTGGATGTGAAACCTCCCTTTTTGTGCTGTTCAAGACTACCCTGCTTGTGATCCCCACAAAAGGGTACAATTGTGTATCCATTCATATCCATTCTAATGCATGGTGAGCAAATCCACAGCTTTGTCGCAGCTGGCGAAGCGAGTTCTTCGAGTCATTCGCGTGCTAAGCCCCGTGAGAGCCCATGTGAGCATGGTTATGGGAGGTGTTTCCAAAAGGTAGCGCAAGTGCCAAGCAAGCGGATTAGGAAAAATCCATCACATAAATTCCCCAACACCAAACACGCAAGTGAACCCATTGAAGGATGTTGGACTCTCGTTCGACTTTCTTTCAGCTGCATTTCTGCGCATTCCGCGGCCTTAGCAAGAATGGCTTTTCGGCCCCAAAAACAGAGCTCTCTCTCTCTCTTCCAAAAAACACCCGGCCCTTTTTGCAGCCAAGGAGCTAGAATCGGGAATCCCCCACCCAAGATCTTTACATCGCTGGAGCCACCGGGTCGCGACGGCCACGAAAACGCCGTGTCGGTCGCCACCGCCACCGGTGCTTTCTCGAAGGCCCACTCATGTCGAGGCGGACACCGCGGGCGCGCGGAACACACCGCACCGGCCCTGTCGACATCTGTCGACTACTCAAAGACCTGGAACGTGACTTCAAGTACCTTAGAAATATGGAACATGATCCTATATGATCGTATCAAAACAGGACCTGGTAGCCATTTTCAAAGGAACGAATGGGGTTGACTCCAGCTACAAAACCGAAGTGGTCTTGCCCCTTTTGAAAAGGAAACAGCTACCTGTCAGCAGAGGCTCCAGCTGCTTGGAGGAATGTCTTTCGGAGGCATCCTGCTATTGAAACAGAGAGAGCCCGAGCTCCGAGAAGGGCAAGGTCCAACGCGGCGGAGGGAGGGTTCTTTTCTTCGACCAAATGGTTCTCGAACCTCTCAAAGGATGGTTTCGGTGCCGCCAGAGGTGATCCTGAGGTGATCCGGTGATCGACACATCTGCCCAGAGCTGTCGGTTTGCAGCACCACCGTGGACAGTGGCCTGAAACATCCTGAAACCGTGCTTAGACTCCCCCACGACCGCCCCAAGACATGCACGGCCAGACCACCAGGGACGACCTCCAGCATGTCTTCGGGGTGAAGAAACGCCTGACGCCCAACGACGACGCCCACCCGACATGCGGGGCGGGGGCACGTGGATGGAGACACGCATGTAAAAACAAGGTTGACGCTTCCTGAAGTGGCAAACGACCTGTTTCTGTCAAAAAAATGATGTCATGCGGGGCGGGGCCAACATGATTCTCTAGGGCCGGGAGTGTTGGTCAGAATGACGACAAACCTCTTGCTGCTCTACTTCAGAAAGCTCGTGTTCTGCTCTACGGTGTTTGGCGCTTTACGACTCGGTCTTTCGGTCTTTAAGAGCACCGAAGAAGCTTCAGGGAAAGCCCTGAGCAAAACTGGACCTTTGGAGTGCAGGCCCTGGGCGTCTACGCTGAATATACAATGTACAGTATCATTATTATTATATACAAGCAACACAGAGATGAAACGTCCCTTACTAAAGTGGTTGATTATCACTTTGAGGTTGCCTCATATGTGTGTGTATCAGAATCATTGGGGCTCCGAAAGACCCCTGGAAGAAGGGAAAGTCTGACCAAAACCCCTTGGGCCAGGAGGTCTCCGTGTGAATCCTAAAATGTTCAACCTCCTAAAAGGGTGCATCTGAAAAATGCCAAAGGGTCGGAATGGCCACGAACCAAGTCCAAGGCAATTCAGAACTTCAGCGCCTTCGTGAACTGCTGATCAACGAAGACACCCCCGAGCCTGGAAAAACCCAGTCCCAACCAGAAAGAAATGGATGGAACGAAACCCAGTCCCAGTCATTTCCTATGTAAAGGATCTCAAGCTGGCGCCTTATTGGAACAACTTGTTTCTGGTTGGGACTGGGGGTTGAGGAGGGTTTACATTCCGATGAATCCCAAAATAGCTCCCAGACATTCCACCAATCCAGCTCTGTGCGATCAAAGGGCCTTACAAGAAAGGTTGACTTGGTCTTACTATTTTTGGTAGAAAAACCATATAGTTGTTTGGCAAACACCCCTAAATCAACGCTGATGGGATTTAAAGGGCTGTGCTATGCTTCTTCCACTGCTCGCCCTCTCGCCTCTGCCGCGCCTGCGCGGCACTCCTTGCCATGCTCCATCCAGTGCTGGCCTCGGCATCGCCCACGGCGCACTGGGCGGAGGAAGTCCGTTCTGGATGGCGCTCCAGTCCTCCAGTCACCCGGGGGCCGTCCTTGAGAGGATCAATTCCGTGCCGTCGCCGAAAGGAATGGGTGGGCCCAGCCATCGGGTACCGAGAAAGTCCAAACACTGCGAACGAAAAATGGACCATTAGGGAAGTGACTTCAGTAACTGTCCTTGCGGACTGACAAACACAAGTCGCTGTTATGCCATGCATCTTCATTTCCAGCGTAGGTAGCGCTCTTCACTGCAAGTTCCGCCACAAATAACTTGTAAAGCCAAAGACGAGAAGATGTATCCGTATGAAGGTCATGATTCGGGATTGGACCCAAAACCGCGATTCGTTCTCAGATCAGGAAACTATAGACCACTGAGACTGATACCTCCAGGCCAGGAAGGGTACACCTGACCTCCGATTCCCGGAGACGGACGCAGAACGCTTTGCCCCGCTTTAATCCGCGCAGAAAGCGAGAAGCCTCGAGGAGTCGGTCCCAAAAACCTCCAAAAAGAGGTGATTTCGATTCGATTCGAAGTGCCATCGTGAGTTTAAGCCATTTCGATGGCAAGATGAAATGATTTCGATGAAACATGTTTCCAGTCCGTCGACTATCTCAAGACCACCTCCCCAAAAGTGTCGGACAAGTCCCTGGACCCGCACAGAGTGCCACTGCCACACCTGCTCCGCCCCACCGTCGCCACGCGGCGCTGGCACTCGCTGCCGCAGAGCCGTACTCCGCAGCGCGTGCAGCGGAAGCGGGGCAACGGCTCGCCGCAGCGGCAGGGGTTTTGCGCCAGGCCCAGCAGCTGCACCTGACCCCACTGGGGGTGATGTACAGCCACCGAGACCCGTGCGCCAGAGACTCTGAACTGCGCTTTCGGTGGGTCTTCCGAACTCGCCCGGGTGGTTTTGGGACA